CTGTGTGAGCTCCCAAGCTGTGTGAGCTCCCAAGCTGTGTGAGCTCCCAAGCTGTGTGAGCTCCCAAGCTGTGTGAGCTCCCAAGCTGTGTGAGCTCCCAAGCTTTGTGACCATTCACGAGCAGCAACATCTTAATAAGATTCTCCTAATCACATCAGCAAAAATATTTTTCCTGAACATTAGGATTTGGAGATCCCTTCAGAATTCTGTTCTGACGCTTAACAATAACATTTGTTAACTTGTATGATTGTGTTTATCCGCTTAGTATTACTTTGAGTTACGCTTATTCAAAAAAATAATTTTTAAGTATAATGAACAATTATTTGATTTAGATGTAGGTTAGTCCTAGGATGTATTTTTCCTTTATTTTATAATTGATATATTTTGTTTATCTTCATATTATTGATATTCAAAATGAATTTCATGTATCATTTGCTCCCTTAGTATTTGTAATAACGTTGATATATTACCATATATCTATCACCTGTTGTAAATTTGAAGAGTAATTATAGGCTGTTAATATTGTGTAAATGTAAGTGCGATATCCATATAGACAAATGTAAATTTGACAGGTCATTTCCTATAGTGTTTTCATGTACTAATATCTCATACTACTGTAGTGTATATAAAAGTGTAAGTTCTCCTTTCTTCCTCGTTTTTTTTTTTTCTGGGCTAAAAGTTACACTGCCATAGTGTGAGGTACAAAGTGTGAGACCCACTTCCTTCCCTGCTTCATCTTGCGGCCGTTTCTCTCCTCATCAGAGTGACAGTAAACAACACTAGCTCTTCCCCCTCTCTCCTTCCCTCCCACCATTCGGTACTGCATGACTTTCAATAATAGAATATAAAGACCTTCCCCTCCCCTTCTACTTATCACCCCCCCACCCACGATCAACTGCCTCCCTCCCCACATCATTATGACTACCCTCCCCACATTTTACGCCCGCCACCTCCCCCACACTACCTTCTACAGCATCCTCTCATTCACTATCATTCAACTCCCCCCTTCCTCCATCTGAACCTATTCCCATTTTCTTCCTCGGTGTTATAGCGCCCGTTTTTTGTTACATCTTCTTTCCGCATTATTTAGTGAGTTTGTTTAAAGTGGTGCTTGTGGATGTGAAGTGGGTACCTGTGAGTGTCTTGTCAGTGTAATGTTCTGTGATTGTTCTCCTATCCTATAACAGTAATATAGTTATTTTGTTAACATTGTTCTTCTGGTGCATGACGAGTGGGGACGTCTAGACCCGCGCGGCTTGTTTAATTACAAGCCCAGTTTTCATGTGTTCAATACATGTATAAAACACGTACAAGTTACGTGTTATACTCGGTCAGACCTCCCATCTCGAGTGCTCATTCCGTAGAGTAGATTCTCTGATATTCTTTATGGTTGTTGTTGATAACTGTTATCCCCCTTACTCTTGGTACTGTTGTTGGTGTTGCATTGGTTGTTGTTGTTGTATCCTTGCAGTGTATCCCAGCGACCCTCCCCAGCCCGGCCTGAGCGGCAGTACGCACAGACCTCACACCCTCGACAACCTTGATCCAGGTAATCCCTTCTGTGGCCAGCCCCCCAGACCGTTCTCTTCCCCCCTGCCCCCCCTTCCCCGCCCCGGCGTAGACGCCAGGGCTCACACGCACACGCGCACACGTACGTACGTTCAGAGGGGGGGGGCCCTCGCGGCTACGTGGACAACGCTCGGGAATCGTAGTCCCAAGGGCCCGGGTTCGATTCCCTGCCGAGGTAGAAACAAATGAGCAGAGCTTCTTTCACCCTGATGCACCTGTTCATCTAGCATTAAATAAGTACCTGGTAGGTACACAGCTGCTTCTTGGGGATGTGTGTGTGCGCATGTGTTAGAGAGAAGAATATATAGTAAACATAATAGAGGAAAATAGACTGGTTAGAAAGGCGGGGTCCAAGAGCTAATAGCTCGAATCTGCAGGCACAAATAGTAAATACACACACATACACGCACACATCTACTTAGTAACACACCCACTGCTACAAATCTAAGAAACAAATCTACTTAGTTTTTATGATAGAGCCACAGAGATACTACAAGAAAGAGGTGGTTGGGTTGACTGTCTATCTACCTAAAAAAGGCTTTTGACAGAATCCCACAGCCAGCTTCCAGAAGCTGTTCTGGAAGCTGGAACATGCAGGTTGGAGTGGCAGGGAGACTTCTGACATGGCTGAAATTGTTTTCTGACAGATGAGGGTAGTTAATCAGAGACAATGTACCTGACTGGAGGAGCGGTACTAGCAGAGTACCACAGGGTTCAGTTCTTGCACCAGTAATGTTCATCATCTACATAAACAATCTACCAGAAGGAATACAGAATTATATGAACGTGTTTGTGGATGATGCTAAGATACTGGGGAAGACAGGAGACCAGACGATTGTTATGCCCTTAAAATCGATCTAGATAAAATAAGTGCTTGGAGTGTCAAGTGCCAAATGGAATTCAATGTGAATAAATGCCATGTTATGGAATGTGGAGTCGGAGAAAATAGACCACACACAAGTTATAAATTATGTGGAAGGGAATTACAGAAGTCTAATAAAGAAAGAGACCTGGGGGTGGTTTTGGAAAGTAAGGTGTCGCCAGAGGAACACAAAGAACATTGTGAGAGGAGCGTATGCGTTGCTTTCCAACTTCAGACTTGCTTTTAATTGTATGGATGGTGAAATACTAAAGAAACTGTGACTTTTGTGAAACCAAAACTGGAATATGCAGCAGTTGTATGGTTCCAAGTCTCAAGAAGCACATAAATAAACTGAAAAAGATGCAAAGACACACTACAAAATGGCTTCCGGAACTGAAAAAAAGACAAGTTACGAGGAGAGACTAAAGGCGGTAAACATGCCAAAACTAGAAGATAGAAGAAATGAGGTGATATGATCATCACTTACAAATTACTGACAGGAATCGACCATATTGACAAAGGGAATTCCTGAAACCAACAACTTCACAAAGATTGCGTGTCTGTCTGCCAGAGGGTGCAGACCTCTCCAGACTGCTCTCTCCAGTTGCTGGTGACCCAGACTAGCGAGCGGTCCTTGGTGTGGTCGTTGGCGGGGTCCTAGTACCCAGCTTTACCCGAGTGATGGGGGTATCCCTTGCACCCTGTGCTGCGCTCTCAGTTGATTTGCTTGGAATATTTGGGACTTGCGGATTACCCTACAGTGGATACCACTTTGTTCGACATTTTGTGCATTGACATCGCTGCCGTTTGTGGAGTTGAATTGATAACGAAGCATCGGGCTGAGGTGAAGCTTTCAACTGAGGAAGCATATCAGGGCTTTCTTCACCGGTTTGATAGGTGCACGTTCCAGTTGCCGGGTGCTGCTGGATCTGTGGTTGTCTCAGACCACAGTGGCACTAATATGTACGTCAGTGTCCACGGCGCCCCTGTTGAGTTTCCGGAGGTATTATGGCGATACTTTGGCCAGTTTCGGAAGGT